ACCGTGTCCTGTAACACAGGTTCTCCTGAATAATGAGGGCTGTGTCTACCGCGTCCTGTAACACCGTTCTCCTGAATAATGAGGGTTGTGACTACTGTGTCCTGTAAAACAGGTTCTGCTGAATAATGACGGTTGTCACTACCGTGTGTTGTAAAACCGGTTCTCCTGAACAATGAGGGCTGTGTCTACCGTGTCCTGTAACACCGGTTCTCCTGAACAATGAGGGTTGTGACTATCGTGTCCTGTAACACCGGTTCTCCTGAACAGTGAGGGCTGCGTCTACCGTATGCTGTAACACAGGTTCTCCTGAACAATGATGGTTCTGACTACCGTGTCCTGTAACACAGGTTCTTCTGAATAATGAGGGCTGCGCCTACCGTGTGCTGTAACACCAGTTCTCCTTAACAATGAAGGTTGTGACTACCGTGTCCTGTAACACAGGTTCTTCTGAATAATGAGGGCTGCTCCTACCGTGTGCTGTAACACCAGTTCTCAAGAACAATGATAGCTGCGCCTACCGCGTGCTGTAACACCAGCTCTCCTTAACAATGAAGTCTGCATCTACCGTGTCCTGTAACACCGGTTCTCCTGAATAATGAGGGCTGCATCTACTGTGTCCTGTAACACCGTTTCTCCTAAATAATGAGGGCTGTGTCTACCGTGTCCTGTAACACTAGTTCTCCTGAATAATGAGGGTTGTGACTACCGTGTCCTGTAAAACAGGTTCTCCTGAATAATAAGGGTTGTGACTACCGTGTGCTGTAACACCGGTTCTCCTGAATAATGAGGATTGTGACTACCGTGTGTTGTAACACCGATTCTCCTGAACAATGAGGGCTGCGTCTACTGTGTCCTGTAACACCGGTTCTCCTGAACAATGAAGGTTGTGACTACCGTGTCCTGTAACACCGGTTCTCCTGAACAATGAGGGCTGCGTCTACCGTGTCCTGTAACACCGGTTCTCCTGAATAATGAGGGTTGTGACTACCGTGTCCTATAACACCGGTTCTCCTTAACAATGAGGGCTGCGTCTACCGTGTGCTGTAACACCGGTTCTCCTGAACAATGAGGGTTGTGACTACTGTGTCCTGTAACACCGGTTCTTCTGAATAATGAGGGCTGTGCCTACCGTGTACTGTAACACCAGTTCTCCTTTACAATGATAGCTGCGTCTACCGTGTGCTGTAACACCAGTTCTTCTTAACAATGAGGGCTGCCTCTACCGTGTGTTGTAACACCGGTTCACCTTAACAACGAGGGTTGTGACTACCGAGTCCTGTAACACCGGTTCTCCTTAACAATGATAGCTGCCTCTACCGTGTGTTGTAACACCGGTTCACCTTAACAACGAGGGTTGTGACTACCGTGTCCTGTAAAACAGGTTCTCCTGAATAATGAGGGTTGTCACTACCGTGTGTTGTAACACCGGTTCTCATGAACAATGAGGGCTGTGTCTACCGTGTCCTGTAACACCGGTTCTCCTGAACAATGAGGGTTGTGACTATCGTGTCCTGTAACACCGGTTCTCCTGAACAATGAGGGTTGTGACTATCGTGTCCTGTAACACCGGTTCTCCTGAATAATGAGAGTTGTGACTACCGTATGCTGTAACACAGGTTCTCCTGAACAATGATGGTTGTGACTACCGTGTCCTGTAACACAGGTTCTTCTGAATAATGAGGGCTGCGCCTACCGTGTGCTGTAACACCAGTTCTCCTTAACAATGAAGGTTGTGACTACCGTGTCCTGTAACACAGGTTCTTCTGAATAATGAGGGCTGCTCCTACCGTGTGCTGTAACACCAGTTCTCAAGAACAATGATAGCTGCGCCCACCGCGTGCTGTAACACCAGTTCTCCTTAACAATGAAGTCTGCATCTACCGTGTCCTGTAACACCGGTTCTTCTGAATAATGAGGGCTGTGACTACCGTGTTCTGTAACACCGCTTCTCCTGAACAATGAAGGTTGTGACTACCGTGTTCTGTAACACCGGTTCTCCTGAAAAATGAGGGTTGTGACTACCATGTCCTATAACACCGCTTCTCCGGAGCAATGATAGTTGCATTTACCGTGTCCTGTAACACCAGTTCTCATGAACAATGAGGGTTGTGACTACCGTATGCTCTAACACCAGTTCTACTGAATAATGAGGGTTGTGACTACCGAGTCCTGTAGCACCGGTTCTGCTTAACAATGATACCTGCGTCTACCGAGTCCTGTAACACCGGTTTTCCTGAACAATGAGGGTTGTGACTACCGTGTCCTGTAACACCTGTTCTCCTTAACAATAAGGGTTGTGACTATCGTGTGCTCTAACACCAGTTCTCCTGAGAAATGAGGGTTGTGACTACCATGTCCTATAACACCGGTTCTCCGGAACAATGATAGTTGCATTTACCGTGTCCTGTAACACCAGTTCTCATGAACAATGAGGGTTGTGACTACCTAGTCCTGTAACACCGGTTTTCCTGAACAAAGAGGGTTGTGACTACCGTGTCCTGTAACACCGGTTCTCCTTAACAATGGTACCTGCGTCTACCGAGTCCTGTAACACCGGTTTTCCTGAACAATGAGGGTTGTGACTACCGTGTCCTGTAACACCGGTTCTCCTTAACAAAGGGGGTTGTGAATACCGTGTCCTGTAACACCGGTTCTCCTTAATAATGAGGGTTGTGCGTACCGTGTCCTGTAAGACAGGTTCTCCTGAATAATGAGGGCTGCATCTACCGTGTCCTGTAACACAGGTTCTCCTGAATAATGAGGTCTGCGTCTACCGAGTCCTGTAACACCAGTTCTCCTGAACAATGATACCTGCATCTACCGAGTCCTGTAACACCGGTTTTCCTGAATAATGAGGGTTGTGACTACCGAGTCCTGTAACACCGGTTCTCCTTAACGATGATAGCTGCGTCTACCGTGTCCTGTAACACCGGTTCTCCTTAACAATGAGGGTTGTGACTACCGAGTCCTGTAACACCGGTTCTCCTGAACAATGAGGGCTGCGTCTACGGTGTTCTGTAAGACAGGTTTTCCTGAACACTGAGGGTTGTGACTACCGTGTCCTGTAACACCGGTTCTCCTTAACAATGAGGGTTGTGACTACGGTATCCTGTAACACCGGTTCTCCTTAACAAAGAGTGTTGTGACTACCGTTTCCTGTAACACCGGTTCTCCTGAATAATGAGGGTTGTGAGTACCAAGTCCTGTAACACAGGTTCTCCTGAATAATGAGGGTTGTGACTACCGTGTCCTGTAACACCGGTTCTCCTTAACAATGAGGGTTGTGACTACCAAGTCCTGTAACACCGGTTCTCCTGAATACTGAGGGCTGCGTCTACTGTGTTCTGTAACACCGGTTCTCCTGAATAATGAGGGTTGTAACTATCGTGTCCTGTAACACCGGTTCTCCTGAATAATGAGGCTGCGTCTACCGTGTCCTGTAACACCGGTTCTCCTGAATAATGAGGGTTGTAACTACCGTGTGTTGTAACACCGGTTCTCCTGAACAATGAGGGCTGCGTCTACCGTGTCCTGTAACACCAGTTCTCCTGAATATTGACTGTTGTGTCTAACGTATCCTGTAACACCGGTTCTCCTGAATAACGAGGGTTGTGACTACCGTGTTCTGTAAAACCAGTTCTCCTGAACAATGAGGATTGTGTCTACCATGTCCTGTAACACCGGTTCTCCTGAATAACGAGGGTTGTGACTACCGTGTTCTGTAACACCGGTTCTCCTAAATAATGAGGGTTGTGACTTCCGTGTTCTGTAACACCGGTTGTCCTGAATAATGAGGGTTGTGTCTGCCATGTCCTGTAACACAGGTAATCCTGAATAATGAGGGCTGTGACTACCGTGTTCTGTAACACAGGTTCTCCTGAACAATGAGGGTTGTGACTATCGTGTCCTGTAACACAGGTTCTCCTGACTCATTAGGTCTGAGACTACCGAGTCACGTAACACCGGTTCTCCTAACTATGGAGGGTTGTGACTCCTGTGACATGGGCAGAGTGCGACTTCTATGGCTAATGAGAGCTCTGATTAAAAGGGCATTGTGCCCGCTATTGAGTCTAGGTCACGATCCACAAAGCGATCGTATGCTTTACCATAGGCTTTCGAATGGCATAGTGCTCCCAGTGTTTTGTTTATAGGGCCCCTGAGGCCTAGGAGATAAAACACAATAGGCAGTCAATATAAGTGTACGTATACAAACCACTGAGAAGTTACTATACTTCAACACAGCCACTACTGACTACCAACAGTGTATCTGCAGCTGTGTGTAAAATCATGAACAAGTGAAGACGTTTTTGTAATGGATACCTATGACTCGTTCCCTCGTAGGATGTGGCCGAAATGACGGTCAAGTGGATGGCAGTGTCCAACGTGATAATCGAGAGCGTGCACAAACTCTAGATCTGCTATGTTGAGCACTTTCTCCTTCTGCTGTTGAACTTAGACTCAGTGACATTTCACGTGCACCCGTGTGTCCCCACCGCCATCATGTTCCCCGTTACTACAGATTTATATACTACCAATATATAAACCAGTGACTATTGATCACCTATCATATCCCAATTACGTTCTGTCAAGACTTATTCCGGTCTTTCGACAACCATCACAAACCTCGATTGTGAGTCGAATGTGGGCGGTGGGGTAGCCTAGTGGTTAAAGCGTTGGCTCGTCACGCGGAAGACCCGGGTTCGATTCCCCACATGGGCACAATGTGTTAAGCCCATTTCTGGTGTCCCCCGCCGTGATATGGCTGGAATATTGCTAAAAGCGGCGTAAAACTAAACTCAGTCAGTCAGTCAGTCAGTCGAATGTGAGATTCCGTCTGTCATTCATGAACAAGTGTTTATGAATAACTATCAAATAGGGATGACAGCTGATGTTCGCGAAACACCATCTGACCTAACCTCAATGCTTATCCAGTTACCTCTGACCTAACCTCAATAGATATCTAAAGAAGGGATTATCGGGAGTACAGTCCAGAGCGGTGACGCGCGTTGTATACTATGTGATATGTGGATGTCCCCGTCAACAGAGTCGCTTGTGTTCATTGTCCATCCATTGGGAGAGAACACCTAGCTACAGATGTGGACTATGACAGTTCGCCTCTTGAAGATGAAGGTGGGTGTTATTTCCAGGGTAATAGTGTGTGCTTGTAGATTCGACCGCTGTTCTGCACTACAGGTAGTGCTGTGTGTGTATGTGAAGATAACCTGGTGATGGCGGAGGTCGGCTGTACTTCCTGGCTTGACACCTCACCTCTAGATGAAGGAAGACGTACATACATATTGAATCACATGTATTGGAAGATACGGGATGAAAACGTGATTAAACGTGGTCCATATCGCAGTGTCCACTTTGTGTTCCTACCTGGCCGTATTTTAGGCTACATGGTGAGACATGTATTTTCACCTGGCAGTCTTGCATTTCCAGGGTCCCACAAGTATTCCGATATGACGATGTGTGTTTCTTCAGTGAGACGTGTGCTTAGACCCATATAGGAAAGTACTGTATCGTCATGTGTGTTCAGAACCGATAGCACGTGTAGTTTCTGATTTGAAAATAATCCATCACTGTCTGATGTGCACAAGAAACTTGATCACTGCGATCATTTGTTTGTTTATGCACAATGAAGTCATTTATCAACTATCGACGGTCAAGGTCGAAAACAGGATGAAGCTGTGTTCCACACATCGAATATTCACAGGCAAAGTATGAACTATATTTTATTATTTTGTATAAATGTTAAGGTATTTTCAATCAAGGGTTTGGAAAAGTATTATTCGGATTATTGTTGGTAAGACATGAAAATTATTCTTGTTCAATATGAAAATGTTGGAATTGCAGAAACAAATTGCATCTGATAGCTTTTGAGGAATATATAATCCACATTAAATCCTATTATAGGGCATGACATAGGTACACTGACGAGAGTCAACCGTGGGTTTGTGACAGTATACCTGGTGTAGGTGGCCTCTGAGTGGAGTTCATATTTTAAATGTGTAAAAACACATACTGTGAGTTCTAATCCGCATGTACATAGATTGGCGCCTGGGAGTGTGTTAGTGTTGTCAAGGGGGTACACATAGTCTGTCGTACAGACCCTCAAGCAAATATATCCAAGAAAGCCCACGCAAGTCTAGAAAATGTGGCAAGTCTAGATTTCCTCAGCTTCTGAAAATGAAGAAAGTCTCAGGGCTCCTTTTCATTATATTATATTTTTTTTACTATGAACTTTTTTCAGTAAAATATGTTCATTTCAGGGACTAGTTGTTAGCCTAGGATAGACACAGCATATCCGAACGTGGTGCTAGTTGTTGGCAAAGGGATAGACACAGCTTGCCAGAATGTGCTACTGGTTGTTGTCATGGTGATCTCGACACAGCTTGTCAGAATGTGCTACTGGTTGTTGCCAATGTAACAGACACAGTATATCAGAATGCTTCACTGCATGTGAGGGGACAGACAATACATGTCAGAATGTGTTACTGGTTGTTGTCAAGGGCAGAGACACATCATGTCCGAATGAGTTACTGGTTGTTGTCAAGGGGATAAACACAGCATGTCGAAATGTGTTACTAGTGTTGTGAAAGGGTCTGCCACAGCATGTCAAAATGTGTAACTGTTTGTTATCAAGGCTAGAGACAGAATGTTTGAGAGTTCTACTGGATGTTGTCAACGTGATAAACACAGCATGTAAGAGACTGTTATCAGTTGCTGTCAAGGGCAGAGACACAACATTTCAGTGACTGTTACTGGTTGCTGTCAAGGGGTAGAAACACGGCATGTCAGAATGTGTTACTCGTTGTTGTCATGGTGATCTCGACACAGTATGTCAGAATGTGTTACTGGTTGTTGTCATGGTGATCGACACAGCATGTCAGATTGTGTTACGTGTGTTGCCAAGGGTAACTTAGTTCATACCTTTTCAGAAAAAAAAACTGATTGAGAAACGTATAGATCAATTTGTCTCGACCCTTGTCGTCTGAAGTTTTTAACTCTTGCAAAGGCACTATATACATAATCCTGAACTCCAGTTGTATCCACTCATTCAGTTTCAAACATCATTTCACAGATTACGAGTAGAACTTGTCAGAAAGAATAATATATCGAAAGAACCTGCAGCCTATGCCAGAATAACTTCATTTATGATGAATACCGAGCACTTTGTGTTGTGAATGCTTCATATATTGACAAATTGTTGTCACAGACTTTCATGTTCACCCGAATACGTCAAACCGTGCTACTCTATTTAGAAATAAGAATAAATATGTACTTAGACAGTTAAGTAAACTTTCTTATCTCCTAACAGAAAGCTACCAATCCTCTACATGAGCAAATACTCACCTGCATCCTTTACACAATGTTTTTGAGTTAGTATGTACATAAATATGGTGACGCGTTGTCCTGTGCTCAAAGCTCAGGTCACAAATCGGTGAAGTTAAGCAGCGTAGAGTTCGGAGAGTCCTTGGATGGGTGACCGTGCTTGGCAGTTTCTAGGACTTGAGTCCTGCCCCCACAACGAAGCACATGTGACACACGTGGTCTCACCTTAGGCAAGTGAGTTTGTTCAAAATTGTCTCTGTTCACCCAGCAGGAAAACAGGTACCCGGTGGAAAAAAGTCATATGACTATACCCTTAGTCATATGACTTATAACCTGTAACAGGCTGCTTGGGTTATCCGGGGTAATAATTTGCTGTGCCTTGATTGTTAGCGCTATGAGCATACCTAGTGTGCAGTTTGGCGCTATATAAATGGACACATTATTATTTACGCAAAGCATGCCCTTGAGGTGTGGAGTTACTACGGCGCTCTACAAATGTCCATATTATTATTATTGTTATATAACGCAAAGTATCACAACTATGCCTGTGGATATCGTTACCTTAGTCTAGTAAAAAAGCCCGTGTCTGGGGACTAGTGCAACTCTATGCTCTAGTGCATGGAGTTTCTGACTGGAGACTGTCACCTTATTTTAGTGGATAGAGCTTCTGACTGGAGACCGTCACCTTAGTCTAGCGGACAGAGCTTCTGCCTGGAGACCGTCACCTTAGTCTAGTGGATAGAGCCAATGTCTGGGGACTGTCACCTTAGTCTAGTGGATAGAGCATCTGACTGGAGACCGTCACCTTAGTCTAGTGGACAGAGCTTTTGTCTGAAGACCGTCACCTTAGTCTAGAGGATAGAGCCCATGTCTGGGGACTGTCACCTTAGTCTAGTGGATAGAGCATCTGCCTGGAGACCGTCACCTTAGTCTAGTGGATAGATCTTCTGCCTGGAGACCCTCACCTTAGTCTAGTGGATAGAGCTTTTGTCTGAAGACAGTAGCCTTGGTCTAGTGGATAGAGCTTCTGTCTGGACACCGTCGGCTTGGTCTAGTGGATAGAGGTTGATTTGATTTAAACATATTTATTGAAGAGAATGGATTGGGTACAAGTTATGCCAACTTAGTGAAACCCTCTCCTATTTACAGTGCTTACATGTAAAAGTGATACAAACTATATGTTCAGGGATAGAAAGATACATACAAAAGGATATGTACAATACAATTAATACATGAATTATTTAGATCATAAATATTATATCCAATTACCGAACCTTTTGGAGTTTGATATATAGTATGACCAGAAATTATTGAACTTTTTAGGAATATAGCCCTGACCTAAATCCAATAGAAAATGTTTGTGGACTTATGAAGGAAGTGTCAATAAGAAAAATCTGACAAATATTGCTGAAATGAAAGAAAAGGTGGTCCGATATTGGGACAGCATGGACCACGACTTTCTAACTTCTTTGATCAGTAGTATGCCCCGCCGCATTGAAGCCTTCATTGCTGCCCATGGTGACTTGACAAAATACTAACTGTTCACCTGTCTTTGAATCTGGAGTTATGTTCTGCTAATATTCACATTTAATACGTGAGTAATGAGTGAAAATATAAAAATTTGTACAATCTTTAAATTCTCAATAATTTCTAGGTGGACTGTATATTTTTGAACCTCTGTAAAAAAATTGAATATTGTCACTGTACGGAAGATCTGCACTGCCATTTAATAGTACATCTAGGTTTGTCGGTGATAAAATGTTGCAAATTCTGCTAATATTTGAAACATTTCCTGTCTGATATTAGAATACAAAGAACATTCCATAAAATATTGATGAGAATTTTCACAGGTAAATTTACAATTACATTCGGGGTTCTCTATATGACCAATTCTATATAGATCACAATGTAATCTACTATTTGAATATTTTAGCTGGGTATGAATTACATTGAGTTTTCTATTAACAAATGAGAAATATCCTGGTGCTTTTGACTTACGCGAGCTTATATGCCATTTAAAACCTTTGAGGGAAACTGATTCTCTAATATATAAAGGGAGATTATTCCAAAGTTGTGAAGATGTTGGGAAAAATGATTGACTGTTGAGATTTGTGCGGGAATAAGACAGGGAAAGATCACGAATGATTCTAAGATTATAATTTGTCGTAGATTCAACTGTTTGAGGCATAAGATCACAAAGATAGGATGGAGCATTAAAGAATAAAGACAGTTTACGACATATTCTTTCTTTTAACAATTGCCCACCTGTTTCATACAGTAGAGTATCTCTAGTAGCATATTTTGGTAAACCAGTAACTATCCTGGCGGCCTCTACCGACCAGCCACCCCACAATTCACAAGCATATTCAAGATGTAGTCTTATAAATACAATATTTAGAGTGTTTCTGTTTAACATGAACTTGAATTTTCTCATTGATGAAACCATCAAGGACGTTGTTCTTACAATGTTATCAATATGTGTGTTCCATTTACAATCAGAAGAAAACGTTACTCCAAGATGTTTGGGATTTTTCCAAACGTACACACTGAGTTTCAAATTCTAAAGTTAGAATTGAAGTAATATTCTTAAGACTGAAAAGTATAGCTTCTGTTTTGTTGGGATTGTATGTCACAGGCAACGTTTTGCCCAGCACGATAAATATTGTAGGTTCATCTTGAGTGTCTCTTGCATAAGCCTGTGATTGATAGATGAAAATCCCATTGATGTGTCATCTGCTAACAAGCGTGCAGCACAATCTAGTTCGTCGGCAATATCATTAACATATACTATAAAC